TAAACGTAAGCGCATTACGAAGTCCATTAGCCTTAGACCAAGAGAACAGCTTAGTGTTACTATTTTTTTGTTTTAGAAAGCCGATCGGAAATCGAACTCCGGCGTTCACAATCAGGAATACACTTATGAAATAATCAGCGTTCCTGCCAATGCCTTTGTTACATCCAAACATATGTTCCGTGGAGTCACAAGGGTTCAGGTGACAGACCTAACTGTACCTAACTTGGATCTTCATGTTTTTCAGAGCATGTCAATGTGTGAATACCTTTCCCTGCCTGGGTGGATAATATGGGCTATAGGAGAAAGCACCAATTCCACTAGCAAGGCCTTTGCCAAAGAGGTTCCGTTATCAGGTGACTACTAGGCTTGATATCTCTGGCATGCGTACGGTGCTGTTAATTAAAAAACCTGTAATGTGCTTATAAGATCCTACCGTTGTAAAAGACCGTAAAGTTTTGAAATAAACAAGTGGACATGAACTTCTGTTACTGACTTTGTGGAAGAATTGAAATTACGGATTTTTCACAGCATGGATAATATGACTGCTACCGCTATACTGCCAGGTACAGTAGGTGGGCTAACCCATGAAATGTCGACCGAAGTTTCGAAACGCGTTTTCATTTCGAAAAGATTAATTAAGTAGACTTGTAAAACTAGTAAGCCTGCAACATAATTCTATAATATTTCAGTTACATCAGGATGCCGGCTTTTAAGTGAACTTTCTTCCGGCTTCATTCAATAATATACTCGGTAATGAATGACTACTTATGTAGCATGTATTGTTCCGATTGATCTTCGCTGCCGCTACACGACCAATCATATTTCATGGAAAACATAATACAAATATACATTTTTTCGCTCATTCGATATAAAACTACGTCTTCTTCTAATTTTATACTCGAAGGAGGGACATAATTTAGTTTAAAATACGTTTCTAATTGTGGGAATTTTAAATACCGTGAAATGGCCGTGCATAAATCTTCATGTCTCTGCATTTACCAACGTGGCTTGTAAAGTTAAGAATGTGGATCAAATCCACAGCTACATTTTATGAACTTTATATGATCCCCTTTTGGGATTGGCGTGGCTCATAAAGCAGAATGCACCACCAGATAGAAAATCATGAAGCCTCAAGACACGCTACCAACAACAGAACAGACGGCGGTGATCTACAGCATACCATGCCTAAATTTCTATGCGAGGTATGTTGGTGAGAAGGGCCAACGCCTCGGCACAAGATTGCACGAACACCAACTTGCAATCAACCGCAAGGATAAGCTGTCTTTGGTCTATGGCCATATAAAAGAACTGACCCACGATTTTGCCCTTGAGAAAACGAGGGTAATTGGTCGAGCCAATGAGAAGACTGGTGCTCGAAAGTTGGTCCTCGACTGACACAGTCAATTGAGTAATAAATCTACATCCCGCCTACCAGGTGCTGCGTGCAAGGTTCGGATCATTCATTGGCTGAATGAAGGCAGAATAAGTCCGAAACAGTGCTGTATAAATCTACGCGCATTCTCTGTCGTCCCTCCTCGCCGATGTATATATATATATATTCAATATATATATATATATATATGTATATATATATATGAAAAAGGAAGAGGTTCTCTGAAAGATACTGAGTTGTACTCGTGAATTTTTGAATTGGTGACACCAACCCGTCGTCAGACGAAATGAAAATAAGAGAGAGAGTGAGACAGTAACACAAGACTAGTAGACTCGTCAGGACAAACATTGACGGGCGGACCATAAGCGTGTGAGGAGGGATGCGGGCAAGGATTCATGCTGGGTTCTGAGTCGGGAGGGTAGGAAGTGGGGAGGAGAGAACAGTTACGGCTCCCCGTGTGGGAGGGGAGGGAGAATGGTAGGTTGACAGAACTGCGGACGCCTGGATTTGCGGCCGATGATGCGGCGTGGTGCTCGGCTTTGTGAGACGAGATCTTAGGCCCTCAAAATGGGCGTCTAGGTCAACGTGGCGGTTGATGCTGTCAGCGTTAGAGTGCATGCCTCTAGGAATTCTCTCGCCCCTTTTTGTGTTGGCCGTGGCGATGACCTCGGTGTTATCCCAATTTAAACGGTGGTCGCACTGGAGTGCGTGTGCAAAGACCAGGAACAGTGGGTCACGGCGATGGATAGCAAGTTTGTGTTCCTTAATTCGAGTTCCCAGGCGTCGTGATGTATGACCAACATAAAAGCTGAAGCAATTGGTACATGGGATGCGATAGATGACGTTAGTCTGTTCTTCTTTGGGGATAGAATCCTTTACTCGAGTTAAGACTGTGCGCAGCGATGATGCAGGCCTGTGGGAAACGAGGATACCGAACTGACTTAGATGTTGGGCGGTCATTTCAGAGGTCTCCTGCATGTAGGGTAGGGAGAAGAATTTCTGAGTCGCGAATTCTCCATCTAAGGAGGGGCCTCGAGGTTGTGCCTGACGCCTGAGTCAATTCTTCACAAAACTGATCGGGTATCCGTTGGATCGAAATAACCGATATAGAAAACCTAGTTCTTTCCTCAGCAAATCGTCATTGCTGAAATAACGGTAGGCCCGGTGGAAGAGAGTTCGGGCGCAGCTTCTTTTATCAGCCGCAGGGTGATTGCTTCCATAATTGATGATGATCTCAGAATCAAACCCTTTTCTATGGACGCTGGTTTCGAGATTACCGTCGTCCAGCATTTGTATTTTACCGCCAGAAACGGCAGACTGTCTCCTACTGCCTCTTCGCGGGTAAATTTTATGGCGGGCATGACATTATTCAGCCTCTGATGTAGCCTTTCGACTTCGCAGTTCTTTATTACGACAAAGGTGTCGTCGACATAGCGGAGCCACATTTTGGGGCATGATATATGGGCAGAATGCTATTACCGACAAAGACAAGGTAATACCATTCTGCCTCTATATCATGCGACGCCGTGCGGCTGCTGTTCGGGCTCGAGAGAAAGCCCTTAATGCACAACGGAACGAGTGACTTCCATTTGAACGATCGGTGAGCGCCCCCTACCATCGTATATTCCCGATCGAAAACCGACAGTGCAACGGGCTCGTGGCCCGGTTGGTAGAGGCGTGGACTTCTAAACCAACAGGTCGCGAGCTCGAGGCTTGGGTGTTCCACACTTCGGGCTTGGGTATGGCTGGCTGACGACGGCTAATAAGTCAGAAATGGCCATTCCAGTCTCCCTTGTCTTTGCCGGTAATACCATTCTGCCTATATATATATATATGTAGAAAAGAATGGCTAGGCATTCCGAGACGATACAATGAAATCGCGGGAGTTCTCTACCCCCCTTCCTACCCTCCCGGCTCAGAATTCAGCATGACTCCTTGCCCGCATATCTCCTCACACGCTAATGTTCCGCCCGTGAATGTTTGTCCTGTCGCGTCCACTAGTCAAGTGTGACTGTCTCACTCTCTTATTTTCATTTCGTCTGACGACGGGTTGGCTTCAACAATTCGAAAATTCACGAGTACAACTTAGTTTCTTCCGGAGAACCTCTTCCATTTTCATAATATACTCTCGGAATGCCTACTTCTACTCTACAACATATATTTGGGCGTCAAACGCTTAGTCTCACGAGACGTTGGAAGAAATTTGCACAGAGACAGGCGACGACTTTCGAATAATTGACCTTCCTTCACCGTTTTCGCGATCAGGGCTGACGACGGCTAATAAGCCAGAAAAGGTCATTCCATTCGCCGGGCAGCCAGCAGCTAGGCTAACTGGCAGTCCGTCTTCCCGGGTGCAGTGCGTCGCATCCGGTGCCTAATTGTCCTTGTAACTATATAGATCAGACTGAGCGTATGCTCTAGTCACGCATACAAGAATTCAAACTGGCTGCGCGACGGGATGAAGCATCGTATGTAGCTGCCTGCGCGTTTGAAACAAGTCATCAGTTCGACTTAATAGCAGCCAAGTCAACTGCCCACGCCGGAGAGAAAATCAAAGCGCAAACCCCGGGTGAGATGTCAATCCCTGTGCCGACCTTCCCCGGTATACGGAGCATTGCGCAGCCACCGTCAAGCTCGCGCCACTGGCCGTTAGTTGACCAATACCCCCTATGGATGTCGCCTCTTCTATTGCTGGTGTCATCACTGACGATGGACTCCAGCATGCTTTAGAAATCTAAGCCTAACAGAAAAACTGGTAGGGTACCCAACTGTCCTTATATATAAATCTGAAAGTCGAACATTCGCTTACATTCGCGGAGAAGAAACTATTTTAGCCCTGTCTCGAGGTTTTCCGCGATCGAGGACCTTTCACGTGGTCATGCCGAATTTTCCGGTTCACCCAATTTAATCGGCGTCCACGCTAATTCAGAGCGATCATCCAGCCTGGAAGGCACGCAGTGCTCCATAATGACTTTGAAAAAAGAACTTTCAGGATCAGGACTTGGAGACTGTAAAGGCCCACAGCCTACAATCACTGACATGACACCAATTATTAAAATTACTTTTACTATTAATACAATCATTATCGTTGATCATCAAGGTACAACCGAGACTGCCCAGCAGACGTAAATACTACCCCACTCAACACTGTGGTCTGTGTGCATGTCTGTTTGTCGGCAGCACCGAAGGAGCAGTCTGAGATCAGTAAGTCGGCGTTTGGAGGGGAAAATACGACGGTAAGTTGTGGATGGAAAAAAACGCCAGTGCAGGTTCTCACATAGATACACAAAACAACCTCGTCTCCGAAGTCATAAATGCAGGGAAATACGTTATCGGAAAACACAGGTGTTCACAAGCGGAAGGAGGAAGAGAAAGAAGAAGGCGAAAAAGAAGAGGAAGAAGAATTGAGAATGCCAGCGAGAGAGATCCCGGTGAAGTGTTCGGGCCGGATTAGACAGCGCTAATAAATATGGAGGTAGAACGAAAATAAGTAAAACCTAACGGGGCTTCTGCAAAGGAGACGGAAGGACGGGGGCAGGCAGGGGGGAGGGCGGCGGGGAGCGGGGGGAGAAAGACAGGGCAGTCCTGAGTTGGGACTGACGGATACTTAAGAACGAACAGCTAGGATGTTCTTGTGATAGAGCAGCACATAAGCGTCAGTGGTGAGCACGTAGTCTACGCTGACAGGAACGATTTTCTGGTCATCACAGAGACACCAACAACCTGGACCGAATCGGATGCAGGCTGTGTAGTGGCCGGAATTCGTCTGGCCACTGTGATTTAAGACCGCGTATAGGGAGTACCTACAGTGTAGATGAACATAAAGAGAAGGAAAAACGAAAATAGCAGTGATATTCTGCGTAGGCTGGAGAAATCCTAAAAAGAAGAGGAATTTCAACCAAAATAGGACGGGCAGCGAATGCAAAGTGCCATCAATACTATCAGCGCCTTTCTCTTTCCTCAGCCTCAACGTCACCTATTCACGATGGAGCTGTGTCCACCGTGATTTAAAATATGAACGTCTAAATTGCAGAGCCGCGGTACGTCTTAAAAATGGAATACGGGCTGAACTGACCGAGAAATAGCCTCCTTGACTTCGCTGATATCTACTCCTTTTGAGATTTACTAGGCAGACTGATGTAAATCGCGTTTCAATATCGTCAACAAAAAGGCACAAACACAGGCTGGTGAGGTAACTGTCGTAGAATCTGATAACAAATGAGCTTAGGTAGCATAAGGAAAGCTGGTGAATTTTTCGCATAAAATGCCTCCAGCTAGTCAATTTCCTGTACAAGTCCACGCAAGGATTGCTTCGAGTTTCGCTTAAAATACATCGTCCTTCAAATTCTACGCTTCTTCTTGTGACAAAACTACTCAGTTACAGTGGTTTCCTCGACTCTTTTCGTTCCCAATCGACGGATTTCTAAGCCCCAGTTTTGGGAGCTATTTTCAAAGGAGATTCTCTCAAATCGTAATCCCCTGCCCCGCCCGAAACATCCGCGTGCGGCTCTCCTGACCGGACTGTTTCTTAGCGTGTTCATTATTTTAAATTCTCTACTGAATCAGTCAAGTCTGGCAAGCAGAAATCTACCCTTCTTCCCAATAACTGTTAAGTCCTTCAAGGTTCCATTCTATTCCCCCTCCCTCCACTTCTTCTATCTTCACACTGATGACCGGAGATCGACAAATTACTGCCGTATGCTGACAATATGACAATATCTCAGAAATCAGACTCATCTCTTATTTTGAGGGAGGACTTGGATTACATTAATGCATGGTCATATGGGAATTCTCTCTTGCTTAATTGTCAGAAATCAGTTCCGATCGTGTTTCGATTGTGAGTCTCTCGCATTCCTAATTCCTTAGAGATTTTGCCCAACGAGAGATCCTCTTCCAGATAGCTTACTGTTACTCTGACGTCCAATTTTTCCTTCTACCTTCATATTGAGACCTTTTGCACTAAAATTCGTAATCGTATCCATTACATTCGTCGTTTGCGTTTCCGCTACACATCTCAACTCCTAGTCTGTTTTCTCCCTCTCACTTTCAGTTGTTCTCGGTTTATTTTTCCTGTTTTACTTAAAAAAGATATCTTACTTTAATAACGAGTTTCCTGAATGCTCTCTTAGAAAGAAGGTAATATGCGACCCAAATTTTCATATTACTTATTGCTGCCTATTGATTCTTACGAAAGTAGTGTCGTCTAATTTAGGTACACTGATTGCCTTTTTTTCACTTTGTGGTAATTTGGCATATTTTATCTTTGTTGGCCACCTTGGCGGTTTCCCTGTGTTCCGCTGTTCTGCAACATTGTCGTGTCGTTGGGTCAACGTTCCCACTTTACTCTTATGAGGTTCGCCAACGTCATTCGTCCTTGGATTTCTATTGGCTATTTCGTTGCCTTGATCTCTGAACTTGACGTCTTATTGTGCTGCCGCTATACATAGCTTCGTTTGGTTTTTCGGAATCAAATTCCGCTAGTGTTCAATTTTCCCAGTCACTCTCAAGGTCATGCACGGATCTATTAGAACCTACTCACGGAATCTGAACATTTTTTTCAAGACAACATCCTTTTCACCGCTCTCTTTCGCATCCATTGGTCCCACCCATATAACCTCTACTTCCACCGGTCCAGTAAGACAAGATGACTTATCCTCCACACTCTGGATGGGGTCGCATATTGCGTCGTTGATGCTCTGTGCTGCTGCTGCAGCTACTGCTACTGCTGCTGCTGCTGCTGCTGCTGGTGGTAGTGCTGGTGGTGGTGGTGGTGGTGGTGGTGGTGGCGGTGGTGGTGGCGGTGGCGGTGGCAACGGAGGTGGTGGTGGTGGTGGCGTTTCTTGCGTCTTTCAGTCGATATTATAATATAATGACATTTCGCAACAGTTCAGGCAATCCGCTCATCGCATTCTGGATGATATTGTCCACCCCCGTCATTCTGAACTAATTGCTGCGAAGTCCTCCCGTCCAATGCGCCGTGGCTTCCGACATATCTCTTGTCGTACATCGGCATATCAGCATTCTGTATAGCCATTGCTATCACAATATCGCATGTACAAGCAGAGTGAAATAGAGAAACTGAGACTTGAACTACCCTTAATGGATACCCACTTTTATGAACACTTAGCTGCTCTTGCGCCACTTGCAAATTTATAGCATGGTCAAAATCGAGTCATTCTTCCGGAAACAGTTGTATAATATTTTCACGGTAAAGCGTATTTCTCTTAATAACCAATATCAAAATTCTTTCGACTGGTGCGTAATGAGATACATCGCCTATCGTAGGTTTTGAGAGACGTTCTGGTAGAGCGTTTTGACGAGAGTGAACGAGTATGTCCCCTAACGCGATCGGTGAAGGTCCATACTAAGGTATGGAATGTTCCGGTCGCAGCAAACACGGTAACCTCTCCGTGTTTCAATAGTGGAGCGATGGACTTGAAAACGCCGATCAACGATGAATCCAGGGTGATCACACTTTGGGCCTGTATGGCTGACTGACGACTTTTAGGAGGCCATAAAAGCCCATGCTAGTCTTTCTTGCCCTTCTAATTGCCCCAGAAGTAGCTGACTGTGACCTCAACAGTCGGAAGTGTTCTTCGAGAAAAAAGAAGGCTTTTGGCAAACTTACCGGTCTTGCCAGGACGACTTGGAGTTCGAAAACTGAGCCACAAATGGTGTAATATCCAACTCGACGGGGAAGTTGATGGAAGTGGTTATTTTGGTGTCATGGTGACACCGCTAGAAACGGGAAAAAAACATGCGTACTCAAACGTTTACACAGTAACACCCTGATAAGACAAATGGCTTTTCAAAAATGCGGCAGAGGGATATAAGAAAACATGGCATAATGGGGAGATTTTTACTAGAAGGAAAAACAGTCATTTGGCGTGATCATCAACAGCGTTCCTTTACAAATCAGTCAAAGCTGCTACCCAAAGAATGCACGAAGACTATGTACAGCACTATTTTACTTTGTACATTTAACAAAAATTGCCATGATAACTCACTCGATATGTTACGAGGGCTGAATGGGCGGGGTCAGGGGTTCGCATGGTGATATACTTACCCAACTAATTTCGTATAAGTTCAGCGAATATTCCCATGTTACAATCAAAAAGTCAGTTTGGCAAACACGTGTTTTCGGTAACTCTTCAGTAGGCCAAAGCGGTTACAAAGAAGTTTAAATTATGCGAACTTACAGGGCTTATAAGTGATTCAGGGACTATTAACACCCATCGTTCTCACGCCACTCGCATAACGAGGCGTGCTATGGCGTGGTCGGCGTGTCGTGTTCATTGGGTTAAAGGAGCGAGGGAGAAGGGGGGACATAGGCTGTGAGTAATGTTTGTACTTCATGTACGTTGTGCACACACCACTGCATCAGGAAGTTGGGGCGACGTTGTGGTCGGCGTTGGCCACGGAAGGCAGAACGCCTGTGTCAGAATCTTCTGAAAGCATAGCACTGGGTTCGCTGGCTGTAGAGCCATCGACGCGGCTTTAGCTAGCGCCCGTTGACATAGGCCTCTGGAGAAGATTGCTGGTGTCCGGTAGACAACCTGAAAGCCTTCCTTGCCATTGTCTCGGTGATTCGTATCGACAAGATGTGCGAGAATAGAACTCGCGATCGATTTCTTTTCACCGCTGCCTAGCCAGGTCGGCATGTGTTCACGTACTCTCTTTTCAAGGCGCCTCGTCGTACGGCCAACGTATCCCGCTACACAGGAGCAAGTGAATGAGTAAATACACATCGATGTGGCCTGCAATGGCAGTAGGTCTTTACCTCCCAGGCCCAGAACTTTGGTTGATACTTGGTGAACACCAAGTGTTATATCCGCTGAAGAACCACTTCAGCAATCAGCCCTGATATGAGGGAGTTCATAGGGGTGCCTTTGATTTGTTCATAGACTTGTCCACCAAAGGTGAAATATGTTATTAGGCCATAGCGTAAGAGCTCCACGAGATGTTCAGTCTTCAGGGGATTGTCCCTCTCGTTGTAGCGATCGGCCAGGAGTTGTCTCACAACGGCAATCGCTAGTTGTTGTGGAATGGAGGTAAAGAGTGAAACGACATCAAACGATACCATGGATTCATCTGGCTCTAGTTTAAGATGTTTTAAACGTTCAAGGAACTGATTAGCAGAGGCCACTGTTGTTGGCGATCCTTCTTCCAGGAAATGAAGACGAGCAAACTTCCATTTTGCCAAACAGTATGTAGGAGTACCACGTAGGGAGACGATGGGTCTAATAGGTATGTTCATTTTGTGTACCTTCGGAAGACCAAAAAACCTCGCGATGACAGAGTCAGAGGGTTTCATAAGAAACCAACCTTTAGCTGTGATTGCTCCATTCGCTCTGAGTTTTGTCAGGCTTCTGGTTTTTCGTGTAAGCAGATTTTTCATCTCACTGGCTGGAAACAGTTTATAGGACTGCGTGCCGCCGAGTATGCTCAGAGCTTTCAACTTTGGTAAAAAAATGCATGAACAAAACAAAGGCACCCCTATGGGCTCTCCCATATCAGGGCTGATTGCTGAAGTGGTTCTTCAACGGATATAACACTTGGTGTTCACCAAGTATCGACCAACGTTCTGGGCTTGTTACGTCGATGACACCTTCCCCATTGTCAAATCGTCTGACGTGGAGCACCTTAAAGAATTACTGAACTCGGTTGACCAGAATATCCAGTTCACGATGGAAGCCGAAACAAACAACCAACTTCCCTTCCTTGATGTACTTGTGCGTCGGTGTGCAACTGGACAATTACAAACTACCGTTTTCAAAAAGGCACCAACACAAGACAAATACTGCACTTCAACAGCAATCACCCCCTCTCTCACAAACGCAGCTGTGTCCGTACTCTGTTCCAAAGAGTTGAAACACTGCAGCACACCAGCCGACAAAAGCGTTGAACGACAATATCTGCATGATCTCTTTCGAATCAATAGATACCCAAGCCACTTCATAAAGCAAAGCAAGCGCCGAGTGAACAGACGACGGCCACAAGAAGAACAACCCGAAGTCTAGAGGGCTATTCCTTACATTAAAGGAGTCTCCGAGGCGGTTTCAAGACTGCTACAACCTGCCAGGGTAGGTATTGCCCACCGACGCCAGGCAACAATTCGTCGCCGTTTGATGCAACCCAAAGACATACTGCCACCCACTGAAACCTCAGCAGTTGTCTATCAAATACGTTGTAAGGATGGAGACTGCAACTACGTTGGGGAAACCGGACGGAAATTTCAGACCCACCTACATGAGCACAAACAGGCAACACGGATACTAGACCCAAACTCACAGCTTGCGGCTCACATCGGGGAAACAGGTCACAGTTTTGATTTTCAAGGAGCAGCCGTCTTAGGCAGGGGCACCTCAAGAACTGATCGTCCACATTTGAGGCTAGGTACTCAGATGCCAACTCCATCAACAGGCATCTGGACCTTCCTTCGGCCTATAAAGTCCTACGTCACTTCATACACCATGACGAAGACAAGACAATCACACGGAGCCTAAGAATGCCGAGCAAACACGGCCTGTCGACCACTTCACCCAAAAGGGGAACGCAAACGCAACCAACCCCAATTGAGGAGATGACACGTATTACAGGAGGCCACCAACATTCACAGGCGACGGCCAGTAGGCCAAGGCAGAGAAAGAAAAAAAAATCGATCAGCCCAGGGCCAACTAATGCGGCAGTCTATTCAAAAATGCTGATCGATTTTTTTGCTTGACGATTTGACAATGGAGAGCAGCCCCATCTCTTCGAAACGTCAGCCAGAAAAGTCCCCGATCCGTTAAGCAATTCATTCTCCTCAGATTACCGACCCGGATATCTTACTTTTGTAAACAAAAAACTAGGAAAGGTAGTCTAATGTCTTGGCCAAACGAGCCTTGTGCTATGGATATGTCCAGGAAATTTTTGAAAAACTGACGTACAAATTCTGAACCGGAGCCGCTCACAAACTAGGGGAGAAAATATGCTGGTAGTTGATGCGTTCTGACGTATTCATTTTCATCAAAATACCTGACTTATTTTGCCAGATTATGTCATCCCGTCGTCTTTGTCGTTGTCGTTGTCGTCGTCTTCTTCTTCTTCTTTCATGTGTTTAGTAGAAGTGCAGTCACAGGAAATAGTAACTGACGATTTGAAAAAATATATTCAAATCGAAAAACTCACTTGAGTATGGGTGGAACATAAATTATCATCCAGTATGATCCCAGGTTTCTAATTACGGCAGTCTCAAAGCCCATTGAAGAATGCCCAATTGCATTTATATTCATCTTGGTAATGTGGGTGTCTCATGACAAAATGTCCTCGAAGAGGTCGGTTTAATTTTAATTTATAAAACTTGGGAGGAGCCTATCCACATCACTGTTTCATATCCGATCAGCAGGCATCGAATGCTATTTCGCATCTCGTTTGTAAGACAGCTTTGTTGTTAGAACAACCGCAACCGTCTACTTGTTGAAATGACACGTAAGGGGGATGTTGGAGCGTAGAGCCCATTGCTAGCTTGTCTGCTTTTGACAAGCCGTAGAAGCGTTGCATTACGCTGTGATGACAGTATATTTTTTTAAATGTACACAAGTATGAGAAATTGCAATATGGAAACCGCTAGCCAAAAGGACATGTTTTGAAGGAATGTGATCAGTGGGCGAACGGAATAGCCGCAAACATATCAAACGCCCTATGTGCACCGCATGAGAATGAAGATGCGCAAGTCCTGATTGGCTATCTGATGGTAGCCAATAGCATCAGCTCGTAGAGTGCTCTATATAGCATTGCATTGCAGAGAAATGATCATTAATTTGAGCAGACGATGCGGGGAATATCGCTAATGCTTCTTCTTTTGGGTGTACCTGCCAATTCCTGTCCTACACTCATTGGTACAATACGTAAAGTTTACTTATTTCTAACTAAAGTTAAACACAAAATAGCGGCTTTTAGGAAACAAGACGAATAGCGGATGTTTTTTGAACTGTTGACAGCCTCATTAAATTTCAACCAAATTAACGAAATGCGTTTTCGTTTCGAAAAGACTGTGTAAATAGTGTTGTTAAACTAGTCAGCCTGTAAATAACTTCTTTTACTTTAGGATGCGGCTTTTGAATGAATCTCCCTAGGGCTTCATACAAAAACCACACTGTAAAAATGACCATTTAATTAGCATGAATTTTTCTCACTCATTTTCGATCTTCCTAAAAGTCCGTTTATGTCTCACGGAAAACATGCATAAAAATATTCAATTTTCTCACTCATTCGGTTGACAATTACGGCTTCTGTTTATTTTATACTCAAAGGAGGGACATAATTCGGTTGTAAAGAAGTTTCTAATTGAGAGACTTTTAAATACCGTATATTGTCCGTTCGTAAAGTGCCATTTCTCTGAATTTGCCAATGTTGATTGTAAAATTAACGAAATGAATAAAATCCACTGCTCGATTTTGTAAACCCTTTTGAGTCCCCTTTTATCGCCGTAGAGAAATGTGTGGTCTTCCGTACACGGAAAATATACGGCTGGTAGTTTGGAAACCCTAAATGGAAGTGTAGCGGTGGAGAGGATTCCAAAAGTATTCGGGAATTGGAAACGTTTTCGGAAACCGAATTCTGCCCTTTGCTTGAGGATATGGTTGGCAGTTGTTCTACCGAATGCGCGAAAAAATAAATAATTGTATGCATGTTTTCCATGAAATATAATAAGACATTTAGGGACACCGAAAATCGATGAGAAAAATTCCTGGTATTAGAGAAGTCGTTTTCTGCAGAGTGTGGGTATGCTTGCAGCCGAAAGGAAGTTCATTTAAAAGCCGACGTCCTGAGGTAACTTAAATACTATATAATTATTTTCCGGGCTGACTGGATATACACCCGTACTTAATTAATGTTTTCGAAACGTAAACGAATTTGAGAATTCCGGTTGACATTTCATGAGTAAACCCACCTACTGTACAGCCGGCATTATGTAAAAGCCATTCTTTGTACAGTCTTCAACAAGCGTAAAGGGATAATTTCTGCATTCCTTGACTATTCGATTGAAATAAAATGTACAACTAAGCAGAAAATGTAGAGGTGTATTTACGAAAATGCGTTTTCACCAAAATCATTTTTACCATGTCGTTCAACAACCTCAACAACATCAGGCAAACATTTCCATCGATGAGTATATCATATGTGAAAACAGCGCTATCGGTATGTGTTGTGGCTGTTTTGCGTACGACAAAACATACAACAAATAATCGTACGCTGAACAGCCCTCCGTATAATGGTCCACGCACATCAAATTAAAACTGTAAACGCGAACTAATTTCTCACTTATGTGTAGCAAGTATTTGAGCTTCGAATGTTGTGTATGAATTGGGATGCTGAAAAAATAAAATTGGTAAATTGAACTTGTAAGCTGCATTGCTCGCGTATTTATACCATTTTTAAAGTATTTTTGACTTATAAGCACTTTACAGGTATTCCACACAGATCATCGGAGGGCACTGGTAACAAAATATTTTGTCAGAACTCAATCTGCGAGTTTTCCTGCACAAAATTTGTCCTAATTCATTACCGAAAGCCTCGACTCTGAGAGCATTGCACGTCCGAGGCGATTTACTGCGCTGCTACCCATGGCACTATCGTACAAATGTGCCGATTTCATTTATGATTCATTTCTACCTCTCTGTCTGTCTTCATTTACACTTACATAAAATATGAATTTTGACTTTTTCAGGAATGTCTCGCTGTCCTTCTTTCAAAGGGTCGATAGACCTAACCGCTTTTGTCGAAAACAGCATGAGTCGCATGTTTCCTCTGACCTACACGACATCTTACAGCAACATTCCCGTTGTCGTCGTTCACCTGGACGCACTTGCTGCTGTCACAAGTACGACGTGCACGATGTTGCGAATTCTGCACGAAGGAAAGGTCATTCAGTTCGTCTGTTCAACCAATTTACCGAAGATGCACCTCACAATAAAAGAAAAGGTTACCGAGTACCTGCTAATATTCCATTTCCGACTAATCTACAGTGAGCGCTCGATCTCAGAAAATGACGGCTGCGATTCTGAAATACGTTTTCCATCAGGAAGTATTACTTAGCCGCGGTTGCAAAACTCATTATCTCGCAGCATATTTATGTAACATTTCAGACTTAGCCGGATGATAATTTTGAATAGACTACTTTCTAATCGCCATAAGAAAGATTAAGCGGTAAAAATGACTACTTAATAAGCATGAAGTTTTCCTATTGATTTTCAAAGATCTTGCAAATTCAAA